AAATCAGATTTACTGTCATCAGTAAACATGAGTTTAAATTAGGAGAGATAACTCACAGTTATAAAAAATAATCAGATATAGGTTCTGCTGAACAGTTTTGAGCATATCTGCTTAATGTCGATGTGCAAAGTTCTCAAGACCATACAGCTATCTGGCATTATTCTCCTACCATCTCTACAAAAAGACTTTGGGCAACTGCTGGGCTCTATTTTGAGACTGGGAGGCTCTCTGGAACAGGCCACACAGTTCAACCTCAAGTCAAACAAAGTAAATGTCAACTTGAACAACCATTTCTGGCCACAGTGAGGGAACAGAAGCAATCTTTTCCAAATCATGCCTTACATGCATGCAGCCACCGGGGAACTTGATTACCTTCCCAACATGGCAGGCATTTAACAACACTAGCAGAAATCCCATATAGAGCAGAGTAATTGAGTCGGTTAGTCAAACTTGGCCAACTGGGGAGTCACTAAATGAGGACTGGCTCCACACCAAAGCTTGGCTTTTGACCCACTTTAAATAAAAATATTTGGGGATTTTCACAACTTTTGGAAGAGTGAACAATGTGAGCTTCTCAGTAAGAGCGCCTGAGGAACCACCTGGAAAATGTTATGTTAGCTCTTCCAGCACCTGTAAATAACTTCAAATAAATGCATTCAATTTAGTGGCTCTGAAGCTAAATTTCAGTGTGTTACACTATATTATGACGCTCAGCTCCCACACACGGTGTAAAACACACCCATGAGAGATGTGCAAAAGGGCTGCAGCACTGCTCACTTTGGATGAGAGAACTGGAGGCAGCCTAAACACACTCACACATGTGCCCATGAATGCATGCATGCACCCTCAGACTAGGGGAAAAGGAGCAAAAAGGAAGCACTCCTTGCTGGTCACACCCTCTACAAATAACAATCTGCACACGCCACCTCTGGACCGAGCTGTCTAGCTGGAGGGAAAACAAACAGACAGAAAATAGGACAGAGTTGGGAAAAAGAGGCCCGGTGCTGTCTGGATCCTTGCAGGTTTCTTGCCTGTCTGCCAAGGCTACTGTTCACACCACAGAAGCTGATCTAATTTTAAAAATATGTTAGTAAAAGCTTTGTTAACAAGAACGGCAATGTCCTCTATAAACATGTACACTTGTGCATCTGGCACTCTCAACTCTCAGACATCTTTGATTTATCGTAAACAGCAAACTGTACACAAAAAAAAAAAAAAGAGCAGTCCAAATGCATTTAACAACTAAAGCTCTGAAATATATTGCAATGATTTTAATATATTCCCTAAATAGATTCCTTCTAATGATGGTGTTCAAGTAACTCTAAAAGCCCCAGTTTTCTGAGCATGGATTTAAGCTTGAATATTGGCACATTGTAACAAATGTTTATGCGGAGTAAAACATGAGGAAAAGCTGGCAGGAGGTACTGAGAGGGTGAAGAAAGACTTTAAGGTACCACTAATACTTAGCACCAAGTGATTCTGGCTGCAATCCACTTCTTTTAAGCAGGTACGTGCATCTAACAGTTCTCGCCATTATCACCAGCCCCACCCTCCACGGGCGGAAAAGGAATCACAAACATTTTGGTGTGGTCCACATTCCTGAATATCTTGCTCTGCTTGGTCATATAAGGAAAAACCACACAGCCAACTGACTGCCAGTAGAAAAAGACCTTGGAAAGTGCAACCTTAAAGTCCTTCAAATATTTACTCTACAAGTGACTGCTGGCAGTATGTCTACTAATAACTGAACTTGTATGTTGTTTAATGAAGACCTTCACATTCACAGCAGCAAAACACTTTACGCTTTTGCAAAACTCGCTACACTACAGATGACAGGTTAAACAATGAGTGCAGTGCCTCTGTTATACGTTCCCTAAGAAGGAAGGAAGGACGCTGTAAGTCAAAACAAAGCTGCTCTAAGTGATCACTTTAATTCTTGATGAAACAGTTTACCCCTAGTGTAAGCGGTCTCTTCAAGATGACAAAGGCAACATCAAGACTCAGGGGCTCACTAAATAGTTTGATGAGGATGATGTCGAACATAGTCTATGGCCTTCATTGTCACCAGGTTACAAAACCACAAACCAACTTCGGATATTTTAGGCTTAAATGATAGTCGCCGGTCTCTTTATCATCATCAAATAAGAAATACTTTTTGGATTGTGATTCATGCTGCACTTGGAGAATCAATCTCAAGGAGCACAGAAGTTGTCAGTATGTAATATTGTGACCCAATAACTACCAAGACACTTTATTTGATTAAGTTTGTAACATCGGCACAAAGTGAAATGTTACTTCTTTGTATTATTTTGTAACTCCTTTTAAAGCATTTTTCCTGTCTTCAGATCCTTTGTTGTTCTCTCATTAGGTGTTTTTCCCCTGAACATCAATAAAGTCTTATCTTGATGTGACTCACACTATATGGACAAAAGTGTTGGTCCATTTATAGAATAAATGTTTTAATACATCTCATTATGACGTCTGAATCTATAAGTATCAATATGGAGTTGGTCCAAGCTTTGCAGCTATAACAGCAGATACTTCAAACTGTGTTCTAGTTCATTCCAAAGATGTTGGATGGCGTTGAGGTCGGGGCTATGCATGAGCCACTCAGGTTCTTGCACACCAGACTCATCCAACCATGCCCTTATGGACCTTGCTTGTGCACTAGGGTATGGTCACGATGCACTGGAAATTTGTCTTCCTCAAACTGCATACAATTGGCCAAAACTCCAGAAAAACAAGTCCGCAGCATCGTCCCTCCTCCACCAAACCTTAAGTGTGGCACAGTTGGAGAGTTAATGTTCTCCTGGTATTCTTCAAAGCAAGTCTCATCCATCAGATTTGCAGACAGATAAACATGATTTTTCCCTCCACAGAACACATTTTTACTACTCCAAAGTCCAGTGGTGCTTTACAGCAATCCATCCTGCACTTGGCATTGTGTTTGGTGATGTAAGGTGTGCATGCTGCTCCTCAACCATGGAAACCCATGCCCTGAAACTCCAGGCATGCTGTGTTTGTGCTGATATTCATGACAGAAGAGGTTCAACCCTTTGAAGCCATGTGACTAAGTACAGCAACTTTACAGGGTCTAACTGTATGTGGCTGAGTTGCTGTGGGTCCCAAACACTTCCACTTTGAAGTCATATTGCTTAAAGTTCAAAAAATGACTCATTGCAGCACTCTAACCCTAACAAAAACAGGTGAGCTCTTTAGAATCAGCTCACTCTTTCACAAATATTTGTAAGGGGAGAAAGGGAGGAGCTACATCTTATACACCTGTGCCAAACGGACAGAAAACACCTAAAGTCAAAGAATAAGTGGTATGGTCTAAAACTTTCATCCATATAGTGATACTAATAAAGCACATGTGCTAAGTAGGGAAAGTGAAACTAGTGACTAAACATCTTGCCAGGTTTTTGTCCTATGTATTTATTTATTTTTGATTACATCCCTACATTCATTTTTCAATATTCTTTAAATCTTTATTTAATTAGCAAGTGAAGCTCCTGGGAATACAAATCTCTGTTGCAAGAGTCTCCTGGCCAAAGATAGACAGGATAACCCAAGCATATTGTTTGAGTCAACTTCCATTGCTAGTTTGAATTGTGCAACCTAAGCCAACACACAGTTCTGACACTGACATTTTTTTTCAGCACATATCCTCTTATTTGCTTTTGACCATTTATGGACCATGTTTCTTCACATGCCAGCTTACTGCCAATACTGTTATTAATTGTTCCGGCTGTAAATTGACATTTATTGAAATACATAAATGAAGCACAATTTTAATATACTTGCACTTTAAGTATCTCTGTGTTTTGCTATTGTCTATGTCCACTCCTCTATATTTGAATGCAAATATTATTAGCACTCCACACCATGTATTTTAAACCTTTTGGTTCTGATGCAAATTTAATAAACTGTGCTGCACCATTACAGCTAAAGCTACCCAGCAGTATAAAACCAATTAAACCAATCATCTCAAGTTCCAATATTTAACCGATAAACACAGTAATCAATCTTTTTTTTTTATTATATTATGTGCATGATTTTGCCAAACTTTCACTTCAGGTTATTTGCGTATATTATCCTAAAAAGTTATAATCCTATTTAACAAAGTTAAGTAAAAGGTCTAACTTTTTATTTTATTAATTTATAAAACAGTTATTAAATACAAAATAATTTTGAGGCTCTTGTGCAGCACCACTGTTCATGTATTAGCCATCTAATTCATCAATTCATGTACCTCAAAATTGTAGCCAGCCGTTCCTGTGAAGTATTTTTCTGATCAAATATTCTGATTTTCTGTGTGCCCCCTGCTTTGTTCTAAGTTCCCCCAGTACCACACCATTAAAAACACACCAACACACCAAGACCTCACTCCAAACTGACATTGGGGATCAGCTTCCACTTTCATCACAGATGGCAGAGGTGAGGAAAGGAGATGAAGAAACTGAACTCCAAGCCACAGCCCATCTGAAACGTAATGTTACCCCCACGCTGCAAGGCGTGCCTGACATCATGCTTGACACAGAGCCACTGACAACACAGCTGATAGAAACCGGTCTGGAGGAGAATCCGTTCAAACCGTACAGGAGTTGTGTGCATGTCTGTGTGTGGAGGCTGGGTGGAGTTTCACTCAAAATATTTCAAAGCGAATTACCGGTTTGGTCAGAAAGCAGGAAAAGGTGTGAGAAGCGCGACAGCAACCAAACACTATAAACAAGCTTTCCATCCCATCATTCACATGTGAAAGTGACGTATCGAAAACAGGTGATGGCAGAGCTTATAGCAGCTTGACAAGTTCTCTTCATTCAGCAAGAATGAGCTTTGTAGCACCTGTTGAATGACAAACAGCAAACATTTTGGCTAAAAATGCTGTTAGCAGGTACCGTGTTCGCTCTAAATCTCCACTCTCCCGAGCGTGAGTGCTTATTAGACACTCCTGCGGATTTACAAAGGTGAACGACCGCAGCCGTGCAGGGCTGGCTTACCTGAGTTTTAGGTTAGCCATGAATTCTTCCATAGACACGTTGTCCAAAAGCACAAAGTCTGCTTTTCCAAACTCCAGGCTCTCGTGTTCTGCCATACCGTTATTTTTTTTCTTCTTACTGAAACTCCTGGAAAATAAAATGTGTCAACAAGTTGCTCTGAAGTGCCGACAAAGGGTGGACATTGGCGGGCTTCCCTGACCACCTCCTCGACTTTAATGTGCAGCTCTGTAGTCGGTGCTCATTTTTTCTTTTCTTCTTTTCTTCTTTTTTTTTTGGTCAAACTCTAATTTTAGTCATGTTTAATTGAGGTCGGAAATTCCCTTTTAAAAACCAGCAACTGCTAATTCTGAACGTTTTAACCCGCCGTTTCCCTTCAGGAGCTCCGCTTTTCTTTTAACAAGCAGGAATTATTCCAAAATATCCTCATGTCCATACAAAGTTTCGTCTTTACGCCGAAAGGTACCGTCCCGTTACACCGTGCGCCAGCTCCCCCTGTCCGTCCGTCCTTTTTCCTGGAGTTTCTCTCCTGTCCCTCCTGAACGACCGTACACCAATAGGATTGAAGCATCCTCGTCTAAGCCCCGCCCCCGCCCTGTGGAGAGGTGTTGGTCAGGCAGCGATGTGTAAGTTGAAAAGCATTGCAAATATTTCTGTAGACCACCGCTCCACCAGTTTCTGATACATATTTCAGCAATGACGACGCCACCTCTAAGCTGTTAAACACTCGGAGGAAAACCATAATGTTTTTGGCCTCACTTTAATGATGCCCTCTTTTACCATAAAAGGGAAAACTGGGTCTCAGTAAGATTTTCTCAAGATGATATGAATGAAAAGTAGACCTACAGTTATGTAGACAACGAGTCATTCACTGGATTAATTATCAAATAACCTGTGATAAATAAAACATTATTTTTTAGGTTTTCCCTCCTATGCTGTATCTTAACGTTGCCTCCTGAATGAAACCTCCTGTAAAAGAAGCTGAACACTTTAAGTGCCGCCGGCTTCTCACTAGGCTTACTCTGATATTAGTGCGCCACCTTGTGTAAAACAGACGTAAATGGCTTTTAATGACGCTTACCACTGAAAACTCCACCCTTTCCTACTTCTATATTTGGCCCTAAAATCCTTGGCCTCCAACAGCTCCATGTGTAGTAATCTTGGAGTCATTTTTGATCAGTATATGCCAAAAACATTAAAAAAAATATGTAGAATTGCTTTCTTTCATCTGAGTAATATTATTAAAATTACAATTATCCTGCCTCAGTGATGCTGAAAAACTAGTTCACGCATTTATTACTTCTAGCCTGAACTATTACTATTTTTTAATATCAGGTTGTTCCGAAAGTTCCGTGAAAAGCCTCCAATTAATCCAAAATGCTGCAGTGGGGATAGCAGCAGGAACTGCAAAGAGAGACTATATTTCCTCTATGCTGGCTTGTCTTCACTGGCTCCCTGTTAAATCTTTCTCCTCATATACACAACCTTGAATAATCAGGCACCATTATATCTTAAAGAGTACATAACATAATATTACCCTAACGAAGCACTTTGCTCTCTTACTTGTGGTTCTCATAATTTCTGAAAGTAGAGTGGGAGGCAGAGCCTTCAGCTATCAGCTCTTTGCCTGTGGATTTGGGAGACAGACATCCTCTCCACTTTTAAGATTAGACTTATAACTTTTCTTTTTGATAAAGCTTATAGTTAGAGTGGGATCAGGTGACTCAAGCATCACTTTTTATGCTGTTGTAGACACAGGCTGCTGGAGGACGTCCTGTACCAGACAGCACATTTCTACTCTCCTCACCACTTTGTATTATGGCTACTGCTCCTGCTATTACTGCTGCACGTCTGTCTCCCATCCTCTGTGTTTTGTCCTGTCTACCTATGCTCCCCTTTTTCTCTTTCCTTCCATCCCCAGCCGTTCACAGCAGATGGCTCGCCCTCTCTTAGACTGGTTCTATTGGAGGCTTCTTCCTGTTGAGAAAAGCTTTTTCTTCCCGCTGTCACATAGTGCTTGTTGGGATTTCTTACCAAATAAAGTGCCTTGCTGAGTTTTGAGGCTTTATAAATAAAACTGAGTTGAAAGTGAATTTTAAATGAATGTATAAATTGCAATAATGATGAATTTAGATAATAACATCACTCTTAAGTCTTTTTAATATTAATATTTTCATTTAATCATCAAAGCAGACATTTAGCTGGCACTCCAGAGTAGTTAATACAGTGGAACTGGTTGATTTAGCACGAGTTAGCATTAGCAAAAATAATGAAATAAATTACAACAACCGTGAATCTGTTGACAGAAAGAACAAACTTTTTCCTTATCTCCTCTTTGCTAAAATACAAAAACAAATAAAAGTGACACGCGACATCAATGAGCACCATTTTAAACATCAGAGGTGTATATTATTTACTTTGTAAAAGCAGTGAGCCTCCAAATGTAATCGTCATGGATGCAGCAGTGGCCCAGGAGTTACCACAGTTGTGGGTGACATAGACTGAAGCCCCTCTGCGGAGGAAAGTCATGTATGTAGATGTGCTTCCAACACTGTAGGAACGGGGAACATGTGCACGAGAAACGGCCACCCAGTAATTATTTATTACTAGCCACAGATCGGTTTTAAGGCCCTTAATGGTTGTCTGAGTGGAGAAGAAGAACTGGTAGATTCCTTTGACGGGAGCCCTGAACACACCAGTCCTCCTGTCGAAGGCTCGGCCCACATTCACCAGCACCTTGCTGTACTTGATCCTGTTCAGTTTGCCATTGATTTGGGCTGGGTAAGACGCAAAGAAGTGGATCTTTTGGGAAGACACTGAAGAGCAGGTAATCTTATTAGTATTATTACAAAGACAAATAGATATATACCTTGCAGCAATTTCTTAATAAAGAGAGGCTTTTGTAGGTGTATTATGGAAAACACAGGATAATATCTTAATCATTCTTACACAAACTATGTAGCAGATTCTCCAGCTTTGCTTACAATTAAAGTTTGAGGAGCAAAAAAGGAAGACTTCACCTGTCTCTTAATGTTTCTTAAAGTAATACAAATGTTTGAACACAGTTGTTTAATGAAGCTTTTGTATGTTGAATTTTTGTATTTATATAGATACAAACTAGTAACAAATTAGTGCTGTACAATAATACATGCAACTATTTGTGCCTGATTGCCCATATTAATCAATGTTAGTATTCAATAAGTTGCATTACGATTGACAAAGAAACGCTGTCACCAAACAGAGAAGAATAAAAGCCCCAGACATCCAAGGCCTTCCATCCCTTCAGCGTAAACGTTAGTATGACACATTCAAACTGACAAAAACTTTACTTACTTCTGTTTGTCTTGCATCTCCAGTTAATCTTATCTCTGCTCACACAGGACTGGTTTCTCCTGCATCGCCCGCACACAAGCGTGTTGACGTCTGAGAACACACATTCAGCAACATTCGAAAAGGCCTCTAAGAAGCACTGCTCTTAGCAGGAATTAGACTGTTCCAAAAGGTATACATTTGCAGCAATCAGGATAAATATGGATTGTGGGTGAAAGTGGATGTTTAATTTCTTAATTTTTCAGCATCCAAAAGCCAAACGCTCCCACAAATGTGCACAATATTAATGCATTTTTTCATTTATACCTGCACAGTAAGCCAAATAACAGGATGTTGGCTTAGTGAACTGATAGACGTAATAGTTGCCCGGGCACTTCTTGACTTTGATGGGGGTGGAATGGAAAGCACAGCATCTTTTGTTCCAAGTGCCGCAGACATTGCGGGTCACAATACCATCCCTGATCCTTGGATGAGGCCCGGACAGCCACAGCGGGGAGTTGGTGCCACAGTTGTTCACAGGGACGCACCTCTCAGGCATCTGCAGACTTTTACCCTTGTAGAAAAGACGGTACCACCCTCCAATAGAAGATGAAAATTTTATTCTGTTTTTTGAAATGCCATTGCTGCTTTTAGTGAAATAGGTGCATGCTACATATAAAGAAAGTGCAGTCGGTTACCTTTCCAGTCTACTTGCCGATCACACATCTTCAGCTTGCTGGTGGTGTTGGTGGCGCGCCAGGTCTGATCTAGGACCGTGTAGTGGAAACAGGGGTCACCTCGTCTTCTTGCATCTTCCACAGATGACTGAAAGTTATCAACCTCAATGTAATTTGGACTGTAAGTGAGGATGTGTGTTCCTGCTTGAGAAGAGAGATTGCAGCACATATTGAATTAAGAGTGCGTGTTGAAAATAGATTTATTTTGAGTAAAGAATGCAGATTATTTTATTCACTGACCTACTTTCTTCTGAGCTCTTTTCTGATGGCTTGATATATGCATCTGCGCATGAAAAAAAATAACACATTCAGTAGCTGGTGCTCAGTATGGAGACAGATTGTAAGGAGTTATATAGAGGCTACCTGAGTCAGAGCATTGTGCTGCTGCTGAAGTGTTGTTTGTTCACACTTCAGGCTCTCCATCTCCTGCAATAGTGAGCATTTTTAGAACGAGTGACATGCTGCAGTCTCATTGACAGATAAAATAATAATAATTCGGATTTTTAGGGATTTACATAATAATGATAATAATAATAAAAATAGTGGGTCCAGATGCTCCAGATTGTGTCCAATACATACAGAGTCAGAGTAGTAACTGTGCGGTAATTTATAGAAGTTACCTATACCTATGTCACTATAGAAACAAGAAGATAAAGAAAAGGAATGAATAAATGTGTATGTGTGTACAAATACATGCATATCTATATATGACTATGTATACTGTATATACAGTACTCTTGTAAAAGGCTGGTTTGGATTTGAGGATTTGTTTGCAGAAGGCTGGATTGTTGTAGATGTGTATAATTTATTTATGTTTTTTATTTTATCTTGTGCTTTAATAAAAGCTTTAATGCAATGGTCGTAGCTCATAAGGTAGTGCAGGTAGTCTACAAATCCTAAGGTTAGTGGTTTGATCCACTTTGTGGAAAGCAAGGCACTCTATAAGAACCACTCCATTTACCATTAAAAAAGCAAAGCCCACTGCAATTCATTTTAAGGCAAATTCTAGTGATTTCCTACTAAATGTCTGAAAAATCAAGTAAAAAATAAAAACAGATTTTAACACACAGAAAATGGAAACAAGCATTTGAAGCAACATTTCCACCTTGACTTTATTGATGCAAAATTGGCAGTTGATATAAATAAAATAATTTTTTAAAGTAGATGAATTGGGTAATATAATCAAACGTTTTTGGCCTGCAGGGACCCTTCGCTAAGATGAAGGCCTGATGTTCATAAAAAAATAAGATTTAAAGAATAGTGAATAATTAGCCTGCCTAGTTTCTTACTTTATTTACCAATAAAGTGTCTGGTCTATAACATCAAAAAAGGTGAAAAATACAGGTCACAATTTCTTAAAATTTAAAAGAAAAGATTTTAAAATGTCATTTATTTTTTTTATTTTTTAATAAACGAAAAATTATTTAACAGAATGGTTAATCAACAGACTTGTTTATTAATTTTGTTGC